AGGTGAGGGGCCAGGACCATTAGGGAGTGGACTGCTGCCTTCAGAGATTGTAGGGGCTGGCAGCAGCGACGAGGAGGTTCCCGAGGAGCCTGGGCCAAGTGACTCGGGAGTCAGGCTGTAAGATAATGGCCCCTCCTTCAAGAAGATAAAAGCCAGCTGTGAATCGGACGTTCTTTGCAGGAAGCAAAGACGTTTTGGAACTCCAGCCTTGTGGACATTGCAGTATCTTAAGCTGGTATTTGAAGACTCTTGTGTTGTGAAATATTTCTTGTCTATTATTCTTGGCAGCCTCGCACAGTTTTGGCGAGGCTTGTGTTTATCAAAGTTAATTAGTTTGCATCAGCCTTTTAACCGGGGATTCGTAAGAATCATTAAAAGGTTTCTGTTCCCTTTGGTTCGTGTTTGTTTTATTAGAAAAGGGTTTGGGTCAGAACAAAAGCTGAGGAGAACCTTTCATTGAGAATCAAGACTTTCTAATGCCTTGGTATAATAAGACCACACTTGGAATTTGCATCCAGTTTTGGTTGCCACAAAAGATGTTCAGATGTTAACAAAAGATGTTACGATTAGAAAGAATGCAGAGAAGAGCAACAAAGATGATCAGGAGAGTGGAATCTAAAACATATCAAGAATAGGTGGCAGGAACTGGTTATATCTAATTTAATGAACAGAAGGATCAGGAGTGACATGATAGCAGTCTTCCAATATCACAGGGGCTGCCACAAAGAGGGAATCAAGCTATTCTCCAAAACTCCTGAAGCAGAGGTGGTATTCAGCAGGTTCTGACCAGTTCTGGAGAACCGCTAGTGGAAATTTTGAGTAGTTTGGAGAACCCGCAAATCCCACCTCTGACTGGCCCCGCCATTTATTCTCTGCCTCCCGAGTCCCAGCTGATTGGCTGGGTCTTCTTTGGTTGCCCTGCACAGGAGAACGGAGCTGGAAAGCAGGTTAGTGGGGTGGGGAATGAATGAGAATTTTACACTAACCTTCCCCTGCCACGCCCACCAAGTCACGCCCACAGAACCAGTAGTAAAAAAAAATTGAATCCTACCACTGGTTGCCACGATGTAAAAAAGATGTTGAGACACTAAAAAGAGTACAGAGAAAAGCATCAAAGATGATAAGGGGAATGGTTGCTGGAATTGGGCACGTCTAGTTTATTCAAAAGAAGGACTAGGGGTGACAGGATAGCAGTCTTCCAATATCTGAGGGGCTGCCCCACAGAAGAGGGAGTCAAGCTATTCTCCAAAGCACCTGAAGGCAGAATAAGCAGCCATGGATGGAAGCTAATCAAGGAGAGAAGCAACCTAGAACTAAGGAGGAATTTCTTGACAGTTAGAAGACTTAATCAGTGGAACAACTTCCAGAAGTTGTGGATGCTCCAACTCTAGAAGCTTTTAAGAAGAGATTGGATAATCGTTGGTCTGAAATGGTATAGGGTTTCCTGCCTGAGCAAGTGGCTGGATTAGAAGACCTCTAAGGCCCCTTCGAACTGTTATTTTGTTCTGTTCTAAGAGAAAGAAAACACGTTTGCACAACGTGTTCAACTTGGGTTATCGAATGAGATCTATTTTATGATCCCAGGCCTTGCAAAGAAATCATCAGCTCTATGTAGGCCTCCCATTTGATATACCAAAATTGAGAGCATTTACATGCAAGCAAAAATGGTTTAAAGGGAGGGAAGAAGAGTCCAGCTAGGGATTTTGTTACAGGAAACGTCTCCAGACCTTTGATCAGCAAAATGGTCGTTGTGACCTTCTAATTTCTATCATTCTCAGGGACAGCTGAAAACTGAACTGTTCGCCTGCAGAGGGAAATTGTTCTCTTCCTTTCACAAATTGGTTTATGCCCTGATTTGCTGGGCTTCCGTGAGCCACTTGTTACATCTAACCTTGTTATGTATCAACGTAAGAGGCACTGACTAAGAATTAGAATTCTGCAGCCATTTCGGACATAAATCAATTTGAAGAATTTTATTTTCCTATTGCTGCCCACCCTCGACTATTTATATGTGTGTGTGAGTGTGTGTGTCTATATCTATATCTATATATCTATATATCTATATATCTATATATCTATATATCTATATATCTATATATCTATATCTATATCTATATCTATATCTATATCTATATCTATAT